ATATATATATATATATATATATATATATATATTTACTTTCCTTTACCTTTACCAAATTTACCTGTATTCACTTTGTTTTCATATTTGGCGACTTTTTGTGAAAAATGGAGACTTTTGAGGGTGGTTCTAGAGATTTTCTGAGGGAGGGGTTTGGCAACACAGTCGTTCACAGAAGTCAAAACACGCTCACGCACAAACACGACGTCTAGCTAGGCAGCTCACTAGTTTTCCCAAAGAGCCTGACTAGACATCGGAGAAAGTGCAGCGATATAACATCATTTCACAAATAAAATTCAATCAAATAGAATAAATATTCAGATAACTATTAATAAGAATTCACTATGCAATGAGAGTCACTTGTCTGCTTTATATTGTTTGGTCTTGATAAACAGGTTAACTGACAGTAGTACTGTAAACTGAATACATATGTTTAACTAAGCATCTAAGCATGGCCTAGTAAAACAATGATTTATTACCTTTTCTGGACAGGTTTCCTCCGTTTGCGACTTGCATAATTATTACTGGTGCTCATAATTCCCACAGAAACAGATTCGTGGTTAGTCAGTGGTTTTACTCGGTGCTAGCAGGCTAACTTTAATCTGCCTTGGGTTAGAAGTTAACGTTTTGCTCAAATATAGGCTAAATTTATAAACTAACCATTACCCAGCAATGCAATTTAAATCTGAAGCATTCACCTGCGTTAGTCCACAGTTAAAGACCAGTGGTTGACATGAGAGAGGTATAAACACGTCCCTGTCATGGCTAAGCTAAACTGACAAGCTATCTGTCAAACTAATGTTAGCTAAGTTTTGTCGAACTTTCTAAAGCTCAGCTGCCACTCAACCTAACGCACATTTTGCTCTCCGGAATTTTTTTTGTAGTCAGCTGTCATACACTAATACTGACATCCAAACACTAGTCCTGGTTAACTTAGTTTGACAGCGTTGCTCCAGCTCAGTCTCTGTGCAGTCAATAAACGACAGACCAATGTTTGGTTTTGACAGTCTGACTCTGATCAGAGCCCCTCCCTCACCCACTAACCACCTGCTAACCACCTAAAATTCCTTTTCTGTCCTGAATGCAGTGAACTACTTTGTCTAATTTGCCCAAAACATACAAAACGTATCACTGTAAAGGACAAAATATTACTAAACTGTAATAAATGTAATGTTGTAAAATCATGAAACCTTTAAAATCATAATTCAACATCTCCTTTAAACAGTGTCAAAAGTGCAGAATATTCTGTATTTTTACAGTATTTGTCTGACAGTAGTGACTAATTATCAGCATTAACAGTTTTATTAACAAAAACTAAATGTTTAAGCAAAATTAAATGTCCAACATACAAAGTTACAACATGCGGCGATGAGTCAATTATAGGCTACTTCTTCTTCGACCACTTTGAAAGACTTTTCTGATGAAGAAAGTTAAGCTGAAACTGGATTGACTATAATAAATTATAATTAGCTACATGGGTGTTAACAATAATAATTTTTATTAAAATAGTGTACTATAATTTCATATTTAAACAATAAACGTTTACAAATAGCACATTTTGTCTAGGTTATTATTGCTTATAACATTGCCATTGTTTTTTACTGCTACTATTAATTATGCATAGTTTGTGAAATGTAATTTGCGGTACATTACATGGGCAATAAAGTTTTCAAGTCATTTATTTTGTTAGTCTACCCTTAGAAAAGCTCTTTATCTCCTAAACGGCAGAATTTAATTCTGTTGTCATTTCCATTAAACAAGGAGTCTATATGCCACTTCTCTTCTAAATTAAAATATCTGCAAATATCTAACCATCTCAATTTGGCAAGTCTGACTCTATTCATTTCCGTTAAAGGCACTTCAGTTAATAAATCCTGTTAAGATTAAAATTGGATTTTGAAGCGGGTGCAACCAAATGTGTCGGGACACATTAAAAAGGGACCTTCTAAAGACACATCATCACATATGCTAATCTCTACATCACTTTTCTGTCTGTTTTAGTCCGTTTTATATCATTGACAAGAGAAAAATGAAAGTCATAAAGTAATTAATAAAGAATGTGTGCACATATGCAGAAGAGATATGGTTCTCTTATTTGATATGCCTAAAACTCAGTGATTGCTGTTGGCTTTACAGATACAGATCTGATGCAAAACAACATAGGAATAATTTCACCAGAGAGACCAAAGTCAGAGGCAAACATATAGGCTGCATTTAAGATGTAGTTAATGATGTTTTTATTTCTTAGTAACATCACAGGGAAAGGAATGTTTTCACCGATTACTTATTTTTGGACAAATGGTCAAATGTCACTGCATCACATATTTGAGCATCCTTGCTTTAACAACAGTGGCTAAAATAATTACAGCTCAGCCATATTCTTTACATTCTTCACCATTTTGAATGAAGACAGAAATTTCCAAGTAATGAGGCTTTCATTAGGGTTGTCATCTATACTGCTTAGTTCAGTGAATCTAGTAAATGTGAATGCCTATTTCTAATGAAAGCTGCAAAGGATGCCAAAAAAAACTATTAAAATGTGTAAAGTTTTGACTTCAAATACATTATTTACAGAAAGGTGTACAACCCTTCAAATGATTAAATGGTCGAACTGGTCAGATGTTTTTCTTGACGGCACATAATCTCAATTCAACAAATTTAATAAATTGCTACGCTCTTCTTAATTTTGTAATTTCGTAAGATGTAATCAGTAGAAACAGATTCTGAGGTTAATAATCTTCTGGAAAAAATGAATAATTATCTGTGATGTTGTATTATGCTGAATATCAAAGGTTTTTGTGTCTATTTGTTAATGAGGGAATGAGGGGCCTCATTGTACAGCCTTTTTTTTTAGATTTAGAAAATTTTATTTTATTTTGAAGAGAAAAGATAAAATATGAGACTCTTAAAATAGCCCTAAGTGGCATGTTGTTACTAGTGTTATTATTTTTAAATATAATGCTTCATTGGGTTATTCAGTAATGCCATGTTATATGTGCGTTTCAGATATTTTACAACAATTTACCAATTTACTATATGTAGCCTATATAATGTATATTATACATTATTCTGCACATTCTGAATTTACAAAGTTATATTTAAAAGTAAATACACACACTGTTCTTTAGGGAGGCATCTTCCCCCATCTTTCGTGCATGTAACACGTTTAATTGACGAGACTGAATCCTGTTCATTCGCTTGCTGGGTTCAGCCTCGTTGTAACCGCAGAAGTTGCGATAATGATTAGCCTACATTCCAACAGCAGAACTGCGGTGGATTATGCTGTTATTTTCTAGAGAGCAAGCAGCGAATTTTTTAACTAAAATTTGTTTTATTTAATAGGCCTACTTATTTAAATGGTTTAAACCAGTGGTTCCCAACCCTGGTCCTGGAGGCACCCCAATACTGCACATTTTGCATATCTCCTTTCTCTGACACACCAATTTCAGGTCTTGGAGTCTCTACTAATGAGCTAATAATCTGAATCAGGTGTGTTTGATTAAGGAGACATGCAAAACATGCAGTGTTGGGGTGCCTCAAGGACCAGGGTTGGGAACCACTGGTTTAAACCAATACATGTTTATATAAATCACGGGTAGCTTACGTCATACCAGGTATTTATTTATTTAGCGCCGAATGCTGTGCATTAGACAGGAGAACAGCTAGCCTACTGTGAAGTATTTTCAAAGTATTAAATACACCTTTAGCGTCATCTGGTGCACCACAATTAAATTGACTCTTTGTGCTTCGATTATTTAACGCTCGTCTTAAGTTTAAAGCAACTCAAAGCCTCGTCAATCCAAATGAATGAGTATTCTCCCTCTTTGTCTCTTTCTTTATTAGGCTATATTATATATATTTAAAAAAAAAAACTAAAGTTGTCAAGTTGCTATATTTTTGAGACAAGAAAACAGAACCTACCTATTATTTATTATCTAATACAACTTTCTAATACAGCCTTCATTTACTATAGCAACTATCAGCTGATGAGCTGTTCCTTTTAAGGAACAATTAATACAAGGAACCGGTTTCATTGTTTTCTGTACAGACCTATGAAAACATTTCTTTGTATTTCCTGTAACACAGTGAAGACACAATGAGGAAAAAGACTAAAATAATATATTCCAAGTTTGCTGAAATTTTAGCATATACATTTTACATTTGGTTACATAGGCCTGTAATAGGTCACCTTTATTTGACCCTCTAACTCTAACACTTTCTATTCTATTTTAATTCTACTTTATCTATATTTATATATTTTTTTATTTTTTGTCCTCATTTGTAAGTCGCTTTGGATAAAAGCGTCTGCTAAATGACTAAATGTAAATGTAGTAGAATTGAGTCACTTGAGTACAATTTGACAGTTTTATACTGTCATGCACTTTTAAACCTGTACCTATAACAGTGATATTTAGTTGGTCATTTGGATAATAATGTTATCATTAAATATACTGGCATATATTATAACAAATATATTTTTCCATTATTTTGATGGCTATTTTAACTAGAATCAGAAGGGAAAAAACTTAAATTGTATTTTATTCATGAAAATTGAGAACTACTTTTAAAATTACCATTCACAGTGGCATGTTTAACAATTTGTGTGTGTAGAAAGAGGAAAGAGGGAAATAAGAAGATGGTCTCTCGCAGTAGAATGATCATATTTGGGGTCCTTGGCATCAAAAAGTGTTAAAACTCCTGCATCAGTAATTTTCTATAACTAATACAAATAGAAAATGTTAAAACCACTGTGTAACCCTAATATAATCTCAATGAACCATCACTTTAAATTTGTATTCATTGTAATGCATTTTGTATTCAACAACATTGTTAAAAAGAGAAGTGGAAGTCACTTTGCAATAAAGAAACGCGCACTTCTTCCTTTACCGATCTGAAACCTGTTTAACTGCAACGCACACATATCCAACAACGTTTCAGTTCACAAGCAAGCATCGCCCCCATCTGGTTTTTAGCCAATCATCGTTCTTTTTACTGTCGCTCAAACCACTGTCTAGCCAATCATCGTCCCCGTTCTTTGCGAGGCAGCAGTGGCGGTAATGTTATGGAGTTTTCTCCCCCTGCTCATCAGTGGCAAGTAGGAAACCTCAGGCCTACTGGAAACGCTAGATTTACCGACAACAAAACATCAGTATTCAGGTGGTGGTGGTGAAAAATATCCGTTTAGTTCTGCATGAGATCCAAAGAGAGCATCGAAACATGGTGGTTCTCAAAATTAGAGACCAGGTGAGTGATGTCTGAAAAGGCTAGCCGAGTTAGGCTAATAAGTGCTAACACGCCAGTGAACTACCCAGCAACCTCACAGACGACTGAACTGTCCAAAGTCATTTAACTAAAGACGTTTAAGAGGTCGAATACGTGCTACATTATGCTAAGCAAAAAAGAAAGCGAAACGTAATTTGTGAGTATTTGTCATCTCGTGCAGAAGGAATGTAGCTAATAGTTGCTAAGCTAAATGTCCGCCAGCCACGATATTAGTACAATGAAGTGCACGCTATTTGTTTTCAATAATCTGTTAAGTAATCTAAGTAATAAATCGCAAAAGTCTTCTGATTACTTGTTATTTTAAGGCTCGGGCAACAGTTGGTCTCGTGAGGTTAGATTGTTAACATCTTTTTTACTGCTGGCTATGAAAATGCTCAGATATCAGATAGCTGGTTTTGATTAATAGTTTTGTTTATGGATTCGAAGTTAAGAGTCATAAATTGATAACTTTAACGTCAGTCTTCATTAGCTGACAACTTTGCTGAGTGCACGACAGGTGTAGTCGCCTATCAGTGATGCAGAAGCCCAGTCATGCATCGCAGTTAAAAAAAATAATTAAAATATTGAATTAAAGTTGGGTTTTACAGCTGATCTTAGTGTTAGATGCCAAATATTTTGGACATTTGTAATGATGACACTGCCAGAAAGTTTTTTTTTTATTACTGACGTCATAGATTT